TTAGATTTAGTCATAATTGTTTCAGGTGTTGATGGCAAAAAGAAGTCTTTGTTACAAGAGTTTTCTCATGCTCTTCTTTCTGGTGAATCTGTATTACTTTGCTTTTCTTTATATTCAAATAAAAAGCCTGAATAAAATCTTTGAACCTCAGAAGATAAGCAAAACAAGTTTTTTTCCTACCTCTTCCTGCAAAGGTAAAGTTACCAGAGCCATCGAATTTAGATAAGAATTAATCATGCTCTGCTAGGATATGCTTCTTTAATACAGTGGCAGATGCGATTTCTGTTCCTCACTTTGGTGCTACTTTTTGTGGTCCTTATTGAGTCATTAAGATCTTCGACCAGCTTTAGTCGTGCACCAGAGTACGTGCACTGGGGTACACTGAGCTCCTGAGATCAGCAGTGCAGACAAAACCAGAAATGGTTTTGTCTCCTTCGACTCTATGGCAGTAGAGACTTAATTTGAATGTCTAAAGCTAGATGGAAAAAAGCCAAGCCTCACTGAAAACATCAACTTCCTGAGTGATTTCTCTTCCTGCATTGGTTGCACTTCTAAAAGCTTTGGACATCTGAAGTTGCAGAGAGAAGATTTGTTGTTGTTATAGTAATACCAAGGTTCTGAGAGTCCATGTGCGTAACTGGAAATTCAGGACTTGGACATGTTTGAAAATACCAGTGGTCACCTAAGGGTCCTAAACCTTTCTCATAATCATGCAAGTAGTTCCACTTGTTTCTATCTTACATTTTGAGTCCTACTGTGCTGAAGATGCTGTCAATTCCAGCAAGTGACAGCCCATACCAAGACTTGCACTGTTACTGCTGCTGGTGTGAAATACCAGCCATGGATTTCTTCTCTTAAGTTGTTGATTTTTTATTTTTTTTAATTGTATCTGTAGGAAATATTCAAAGATTAAGACTTAGCAGAAAACCGTCATTATCTGGTTTCATTCAGCACTACCTAGAAGTAGTCACTTGGTTTGTTCCACCTGTGTGTGTCTGCACTGAACTGTTTATTTCCCTCTTGTGATTAAATCCTGCTGGCTTTGTCAGGAGTTTGAAATCAAAAAAAGTGCCTTTCTGGCCTCTCCTTGCTTCCCAGTGCTGAACCAGTGTGTCAAGGTGGCAGGGGAGGAATGTTAACACTGGTGAGAATGGCAGTGGGTGGACCATCAAAGAAAAATGCTCAAGATAGAGCTCACCTCTTCGGCAAACTAAACAATTTGCCAGTGTCACCCCTGCCGTGGCTAAACGACTAGAGGGAAAATTTATGGGGAAAGAAATAGTTCTCCTGCTGTAATTATACAAACCTTCTCAACAGTGTTAACACTCCACAAAGTCACAGCTGATAAATGATAAGCCACACAAACAGTGACTTAATAGATTATTTAAATAAATGAACATTATCCTTTTTAGCTGTAGATGCACTTTATTGAGAGTTGTTGCATATTTATATGGCAAACATCTCACTATCCAAATGGCGTTAATTGAATTGTTTCTGCAAGAGTGTGCTGCAGGGGCTGGGTCTCTGCTTCGAGAAGCAGGGGCCTGGGTTTAGGGACAGGCAATGTCGTGGTGGGACAATAGTCTGAGCTACTGAGAGATCTCAAAATGCTTCCAATAGTGGGTGCTGCCTTTGTCCCTAACCTGCACATTGTAGCAGGGATGGAGAAAGCGAAAGGCGACTGCTTTTCTGCTCCACTTCCCTCTCCAGGAGCACTTGTTTCTCACAAGATGGGAGCAAATTCTGGAAGTGACAGTACTGGGGTAAAAGGCCTGAGCCCTGTGAAGAGGGAAAAGACGAGGAGCTGCCATGACAGCTGGCACTGCAGCCCCTACCCTGGGGGGTGCCCCAGCGCAGACCCTGGCCCTCCGCACTCTCATCAGCTGCGGAACGGGGTTGTAGGAGCACAGGGACCCATGCTCTATCCACAGATCCCCACTCCCGTGTCCCAGGATTTGCCAGTAGTGTGATAAACCACAAGGATCCAAATAATTGCTACTAGTGCTGGAATTAACTGGGCTAAAAGCATGAGAAATGCTAAAAAGTCTTCTACATGCGATTTCCTAGTGTAAAGAGAGCATCTGATGGGAACATGCCTCTGCTCTCGGGTTTGGATCTGTTCAGAGTTGCTTTCTCTAACAAAGCAAATATTTGGTGACAGAACTAGATGTAGAAAGTGCTGCATAGCAGGAAAGTGTGAAGTGTTCATAATGATATGAAATACTACTCGGAATTCAATGTTTTCACATTCTGTTGCGAGCTTAAACATTGGGCTCCTGTCACAGAAATTTCTGCTGCAGCAGATACAATTTCTAGCATAAATGGGCTGGCTTTCAATAGAAAATGGGACACTTTTCAGAGGAAAAAAGGCCAATTTGTGAGTAAAAATGGGTCTCGTTCTGAGCAAAGAGGCTTATAAACATGAAGCAATAAATGGCTTTGCAAGTTTTCCATACAATAATAACAACTTCCTAATCAAAATAATGAAAAAGTCGCATCTAGGAGAGGGGAGAGAAGCTCCATTCAGGCTTCAATACACTGAAAATATTTTAGAAAATAAATATATGAAAACGATAAATTTTGTTCCACTCTGTAATCAGAATTTGTGTTGGAGACATGTCAGTAATATTTCTTTGTGTATATTTATATCATGTTATAAATCAAAATCCTGTTCTGGGTTTTCTGCCTTCTGAGATGAATTTCATGCAATAATGCTGTAAGACTTAAGGAAATACATTTTTTAGGATCCCCTAAGTGGCAGTGGCATCTGATTTTCTAGTAGTCCATGTTTTTAGAACTAAATACATGTTTTGGCCTGACTCATTGATTGTACCTGCAAATATATTGCTTTATAATAGCTGATCTGATGAGCAACTGATATGGTTGCTTCTCTCGTGGCCTAAAAATGCTTCAAAATGTACGTGCTAAGGAATTGGGATCTTCTTCTTGCACATGCTCCAAAAAAGGTGGTGTGATGTGTCCAGGAAAATGCATGATTTAAAATGCACTATTTAGTGAATGTTTTCAAATTGCTTGGCTACAGAGAATATTGTGTGACCCAAGTGGTTGTTTTGCTAAGCTAGAGATGAGAAGTGTCCTTAAAAAAATTAAATGATGAGATACAGACTGGGGGATGAATGAATTTGGAGCAGCCCTATGGAGAAGGACTTGGAGGTACTGGTGGATGAAAAAAAATGGACATGAGCTGGCAATGTGCTCACACAGTGCAGGAAGTCAACTATATCCTCGGCTGCACCCAAAGGAGCATGGCCACCAGGATGAGGGAGGTGATTCTCCTCCTCTACTCTGCTCTGATGAGCTGATGAGAAAGATGGGGACAGATTTTTTAATAGTGTCTGTAGTGACAGGACAAGGCGTAATGGTTTTAAACTAAAAGAGGGCAGATTCAGACTAGATACAAGGAAGAAATTTTTTACGATGAGGGTGGTAAAACACCAGCACAGGTTGCCCAGAGGGGTGGTAGATGCCTCATCCCTGGAAACATTCAAGGTCAGGTTGGATGAGGCTCTGAACAACCTGATCTGATTGAAGATACCCCTGCTCATTACAGGGGGTTGGAGTAGATGACCTTTAAAGGTCCCTTCCAACCCAAACTATTCTCTGATTCTGTGTTTTCTGTTGTGGGATAAGCCCTGCTCCAGCTTCCTTGATTTTGCTTTGTGAGGCAGTGTATGGGTGGTAGACAGAGATCACTGTGTTGCTGTATGGAGTTTCACATCAGTTCTCTCCATGCGTGTTAATTAGCTGGAAAAGTTAGATGAAGGACACAGGATGAGTGATGTCGAAGATGTGTAGCCTTGGTTCTTGTAGACACAGTTGACTGATAGAGCTGGTGTGAGGTTAAAAAAGCCCTCTAGCACTGGTGCCCTGGCCACCCTTTCAGGCACCCTGATGTCGCTTTACCCCTGAGATCCAGACTTATTTTTCAAGGAAGGAAAATGTTTTGAAAAAACATTCCTGAGCACATGGGATATTCTTACCGTATAGTTTTAAAGGTGACTGCAGCACTTTCCCATCTGTGTCCTCCATTGACGATACAGCACATATGGTCTTCGGGCAGATGGTTCCATATAAGGCAGCCATACAAATGGGGAAAATATTCATTTTAATTAGATGTCCAGTCTTGTCTCCAGTGAAATCCACGGGAGCAGGTTCTGATGCTGATAGTATCTCCCTTTGATGAGATGTATTACTACCCCGTTGTCCAGCTTACAAACAGATGTGCGTTCGTGCCTGATGTGAGAGGTGAATTAGACATGCTCTAACATTCCCATTGCAGAGCAGTGGCCCCAATTTTTTTTTTCCTGAGTTATGGCTGTCTCTTGGGGGAAGGGAATTAAGGATGGCTTTTCTATGGACCTAAGCTCTCCAGTTCTACAGTAGGTAGGCAGGCAGATAAGTCACCATGACATAGGAATCAGATATTATAGATGAAAATCATTAATGTTACTATACACATTAGCTTTGTACAATAACTGGCAGTTGCCCATTTTAGAAACTTGCTTGTTTCTTACAGTGAAGCAAACTTAGATTACTGCTCTAAATGCTAATACACAGAATGAGTGTGATTTAATAAAGTGAATTTATATGTAGATTGTGACATTAGTATTTAATTATGTACCCATCATAACACTGATGAAGCAAGCTGCTAAATATTAGTGCACTGAAGTGAGAGCTTACTCTTAAAGAGCAGGTATATTTTAATTTCTTTTCTAATCTCTTTCAATAACAGGATAGATTATGTACTGTTTACCAATATTCACCTCTATTCCTTCATACTGTATTCCAAATAAGGTTTCCGTTTTAGCAGCTGAAGCTTATAGACAGCTGTGTTGTTTTGATAAAACACTGTGATAACATCCATTTCTATGCTATGTTTTATGAGGCCAAATTAAGTTTTAGATTTTTTTTTGTTTGATATTTTAATGTGAATTAAAAGTCGTATGTAATCTATGAGGGTTTTCTTAACCTTTCCTTTTCTGTTGTTTTTTCAGACTATGGAAAGCCCGAAATATGAGCTAGTTATAGAAGCTAAGGATATGGGTGGTCTTGATGTGGGACTAACTGGCACAGCAACTGCCACTATTCTTATTGATGACAAAAATGACCATCCACCAGAATTTACCAAGAAGGAGGTAAGAGTTTGGCATTTGTGTTCTACGAAACGGTGCGTGTAATTGCAATTAGCTTGTTTCTAAAAATAAAAATGTTCCTTAATGGAAGAAAATACTCAAAGACATCTTTTTAGCTCAATGTGACAGACTTTCCTGGAGCTGCTCTTTTCTTCTTTTACATTAATAAATTTGTATGCATCATTTCCAAACCAAAATGCAACCACAAGGTAAAAATTTATGTCAAGTGATATAATTCAGAGGTTGGCTAGCAGGATGAAAAACTGTAAAATAAGTTTGCTAGTGGTAACTTTCTCCTTTTGCTTCTGTGGAGTAAAATATATAATTGCCTCCTGCCTACGGTCTAGCTTAGGACTTTTGATGGTCAGGAACATGGATGAAAACAACACGTTTTGTCCTTGCTTTCAGTACTTCCCCTGTGAGACAGCTAGTGTTGAGAGTTCTGTAACAAAAGCTCTAGTCCTAAAAGCTTTAAATTTAACCTACAGGTGGAATTTGCAAGGAAAGTTTTTTTCCCCCTGCAAGTTGAATCCCATTGAGGAATGCTGAAAAGTCTGAAAAAAAGCCAAACCAAAACAGAAGCTATTCTCTGCCTACAGGAGAGTGCAACAGTGCTACAGCAAAGTTTCTGGTTTCAGGCAAAGCATCTACCAAATTTCCTGCCCTTCCCACACTGGTCCCTACCCTCCCCTACATTTACTATTAGTCTAATTTTTTTTTTTTTTTTTGCCTCTGGTATCTAGAAGAGAATTAGGGAGTGTCAAAAGTTTTACCTAATAACGGCTGGTTTGGATATTGCTATAAAAGTTTCCTGAGGCTCTGCAGATTTCAAGGAATATTCCCAAAAGATAAGTAGTAAGCATGAAGGATGCTGATTTTAAGGTAATTTTAGAAAAAGAAAAGGAAAGCCCATTGCTATATAAAGCCTTGGTTTTCTCCTTAAGGTATATTTTTACCTTTGTTTGTTTGTTTGTTTTCTCTGGCCTAATTTTAATGATTTGACAACGAATCTTTTGAAATAAGTTACTGCAATTTTACTTGAATAATTATTTATTTTAGAATTGCAAACTGGATGATCAGATTTTAAAAGGATGGAGAAGGTTTAAAAAAAAAAAAGAAGAAATGAGAAACAATAACAATTTTGCCAACAGGAGTATTATTTTTTAGTAGCAATAGGTATACTTAAGTAAAATGCTTTGGCAAGAGCATTTCAGTCACCTAAAAAGTGCCACGGAGAGCCTGATCCAAACCTTTACAAGTGCATAGATGGTAATTAAGTGGCTTTGATCAAACTATTAATTCCCTTAGAATTACCCTTTAGATCAAGCTTTTAATGGTCTGAAAGCTGTTTCCTGACAATCAATAGTTAAAATAGATTTAAAATATTGTCTTTTTTTTAGTCCTCTGGAATTTAACAATGTAAAAGGACAACTTGGTGTGTTTAGAAATAGGAAGTAATTTTATTAATCGATATTGATAGAAATTCATGTCATTCAGAGTCCTGTCTACTTAAATTTCCAAACTGTGAGATTTCTTCTTTTGAAGAAATCTTTTTATAATTGTGTTTCCTGTCTGACTTAATATTTTTCTCTGGTAATTTGGACAAGCATGTTAAAAAACTCTGGTGCCTGCTTAGCCCCAAACGTACTGTTAGACACTGTCTGTTTCTGAGGAAATTCAGAAACGTTTATAAATTCAGTTCAGTCAATGATAGTAAAAGGTGCTCTACAAACTTGAAAGGCTGGTGGTTTCAGAATAGAAATAAAATAGCAAGTCTGAAGACACAGCACTATGTCGCTTTCTTTGAAAAGTTCGGTCTTATGCATTTTCCTTGCACTTTACATGGCATACAAATTTTCCCGTAGGGACATTTCTTCTTTTTAATACGTTGTGACATGATTTTGAACCTTTCGCTATTTAGAGATGTTAATGACCTCAGAAATCTTCCCTCTGCCTTGCTAAATGATATTCTTATCCCATGAATAAGGCAGGAAAAATCAGTCTTCAGGTGTACGATGTCAGGCCCCTTTAGAAACGTGTGTTCCGTTTTAAATAAGTAGTGTAAGAGGAGGGAGAGTGTCTATTAATAGAGCTAACGGCACTTTATTTGGCTTACTGCTCAAAGTACCTCGTTACTGTACTTTCATACCAGTCATACCACATGCTGCTACACTATTGATTTGAAGAAGATTTGAAAGAAAAAGACATATCCTACAAAATAACTTTTGAAGTAGAAAGCTCAAATTCAGTAAATCTGAAGGTGTGATTTCAGAGCGCATCGTCTTTTATTTACTTTGAGACTGGTTCTTATGGTATTGACATGTTTTCCCAGGTATCTTCCTTCTCTTTAAAAAGATATTTTCTCTCAATGCCTTTTTCCCTTTTGTAAGACAAATGCTTATTTACTGGTCTGTGTTTTCTTCTTTATAGTATCATTTCTACTGAAATAGCTCTGGCTTTATTTGTCATGTGCTATTGATGTAGCTCAATTAAGCCAAGTTTTCAGTGCATTCTCTTAATCTGTAAACACAGGGGCCAAATTCATTCCTGATCTGACACGGTGAAAGCAAATGAAGTTACAAGAGCTGGATTTGCTCAAAAGTCTGGACACTGTATAAGTACGACACCGGGTACCCCAGACTGTGCACTAAATGGTGTTTTACAGAATGTAGAATGCCTTGTTATATATATCATAATGAAGATATGTATGATTTCAATAATGTTAATGTCAAGACAGAAGTATAATAATTTCTTTCATAGGTTTCTCCAAAGTTGACAATTTCTATATTTCTATATATTTCTGTTCCCAAAAAGTCTTATATGTGTTAGCAGATATTTCTTTGGGTTCTCAGGGCAAGGCAAATAACTAGGAAATATTTTTCCTAGTTTAGATTTTGTGAATATATGTTCTTAGAAATGAATTTTCCAGTTAAATGAAGAAGCTTGCCTCCTGTGAACAGAATAAAGTTTGTGTAATTTGACCAAACATCACTACAGTGAAATCTGAGATACTAGTGCTGTGAGTCTTAAGCGAAAAGTATTATTTGCTTACATTTTGAAGACCTACTTATAAACAGTATATAAAAGAGTAATAAATGACTAATGTGTGTTTTAATAAGTGATTCATCAATTCCTATAGAGACCTGTAAGTGATTGGGTTGGTTGTCACCCTGATTTCTGATGACTTCCAGCACTGTCTTGTGATTCAGTTGTGCTACTCACTGGGGTAAAACAGCCCCTGGAGTACAATACGTATCTCCGTCTGCTCACGGTTCAAAGAGGATGTGAGACTTTCAGAGTACCATCTGGAGAGATTATTTTCAGCTCAGGCTGTTGAGAAATACGCTTGTAGCTTTGATAGTCCCTGTCTTGATTTTTGGTATTGGCTAAATCATATCAAGGACCAAATGCTGAGCTAAAAGCATTTTTAAGGTTCTTCCTGGCTCTCTTTTCCATACCTGTTTTACAAAAATTTCTCTCTTAGGCATGATGTTGTTATTTTCCATACTAGACATGCCTTACTGACACAGATCAGATCTGTCCATTCAGTTTGTGCATTTAAAAACAACAGCAAATCTCACCTCCCCTTCTTCTGTGATCTGAAAGTCAACCCTGGTCCTTCTTATCTTGTCTTGCAGGGAAGATGTTGCCCTTTGTGACTCCCAATCAATCTTATTCCTTTCTCTGTGGGTCCTGCCAGTGGGCTGGACGCTATCTTTGAACACTGACAATTCTGTTAATGGTAGATGATTCCCCTGCAACTCTCTCCTCTAGACTCTTACATCTGGTTTGGAGAAATCACTAGTGAGGACCATAGTTGTGTGCAAAACTGAGCAAGAAAGTGCTGTCCTTTGACTAACATGCAGTTCAGGAGCATGGCCAGGGTACCAGCCCTCTTTCACTTTCCGGTTGGGAGGCAAGTCAGTGTGTAAACCAGACTGAACAGAGGCAAAAGAGTAGCAGGAGCTGCCAGCATGGCTCAGAAAGGTGGTGAGAACAAGCTGAGTTGGCTTTTTCCCATTTCACGAACCAGACGCTCATGCTGGATGTTGGAAGGCCAGATGACTGAGCTGAGGTTCTTGAGCAGCAATAAGCAGATCTGAACAGATGAGAAGAAGCTGTGTTGCTAGGCTAAGAGTTAAGATATAGAGCTGTACTATGGCCTAAATCTTACAGGAACCAGTCTTAAATTCTAGCAGCCTGTTCAAAATGGAGAAAACTGTCTCCAGTACTGCTTTGTCACAATAAATAGTTTTGTGGAATGGATAAAACCATTTTAGCAAAATCACATGAACAAAATGCATATTAGAATTTCCATTTGGCTCTCATTTTTGGGCTGCAAGACAATTTACATGCAGAGAAAACAGAATTCATACAGAAACTCAGTAGAGCAGGACAAAGCCTCTACAGCTGTTAGTAAACTTTGGCATAGAGAACAGATTTGTTATGGCTAGAGAACACCAGAGATGAGCTCTTTGGCCATCCTTGTTTTTTTCTAGAGCTGTAAATACAGCTAACAAGGCTCCTGAAGTATATCCTACCCTTCAGAAACCCCCCTACACTAGATAAATATTTGCACTGACCTTTTCATTCAGCTTTGCTTCCACTTCATACTCTTGTAGCAGTTCACTAACACACTTGACGTATCTGAAGCTCCAGATGCCCAAAAGACTCCTTGAAAACAAATGAAAGACATTGCCTGGTAAATTTTTCACATGTGAAAGGCAGAATTCAAACATAATTTCTCTGGTCATGGAAAATAGAGGAAATAGGATCAAGGCAGGATTGCTGTTCCTATGCCATCCTTGTAAGATATCTGTCTTCTCACATGTTCTCGAAACATCCAGAGATTGAAAATCAAAAGCCTCCTCAGTCAGTTTCTGAACAAATCTTAACAATGAAAATTTCTGCATAGCCTGATCTGAATTTCCTTTACTGGAACTTAAAATCATTGCATCTTCTGTTATCCTTATAGATACGGAGTACAGACTATGCCCTTCATA